CACATGTGTTTTAATCCCAGCCTGGCATTGCCTGGCGTGTTGATCACGCGTGTTTCTGGCTTTGATTGCTGCAGCTCTGACTCCTGGCAGCTTGTGCAGACCCAGTGCCTGCCCTCCTCCTCCAACAGCCTCGGCTGCTCCCCATTCCAGTTCCACGAAGCCACCATTTACAACGCTGTCAACAGCTCAAGCTGGAAAAGGATCACCATCCAGCTTCCGGACCACGTCTCCTCAAGGTGAGTTGTCTGCCAGGGTCATCCTAGTGGGACTCCAGCAGCCTCTACAGCGGCGTTTTCAGCCTCTCTGCTACTGCAGCCCTTTACATCAGTTCCTCTTGTTGTGGGGACCCCAACCATAAAATTACTTCTGTTGCTACTTCGTAACTGTAAATTGCTACTGTTGTGAACTGCAATGTAAATATCTACATTTTCCAGTGGTCCTAGGAATCTCCGAAGGGGTTGTGACCCAAAGGTTGGGAACTGCTGCTCAGCAGTCATGCAGAAAGATGGGACAGAATTTTAGCTGCAACCTGAAGACCCTTTCATCTTCTTGCCATTCTGTGTCCCAAGAGGGAAAAAAAGGAATATATTTGGAAATTATTCACAGAGCTCAGATTTCCTTTTCACAACGTATCATACATGTGCAACAGCTGCTGACACATCCTGAATGGTAGATCCTACACAGGCACTAGAGTTGGGGCCAGTTCTGCTGTGGCGTTCTGCTCTGCCAAAGGCTGTGCTGGTCATGCAGACATGCATGCCTCCTGGTTGTCAGGTTACAGAAAGCTTAAGACAACAAGGACAACATGTGATATTGCCAGAGGCAGCATTCATCTCACTGAAAGATTTGGAAAATGGTGTGTGTGTGTGTGTGTGTGTGTGTGTGTGTGTGTGTGTGTGTGTGGTGTGTGTGTGTGTGTGTGTGTGTGTGGTGTGTGTAAATTCTCATAAAAATTCAATAGAAGGAACAACCCTTGAGACTGACCGCTGACTTCCATTGTGTACAAGTATACATTGCATATAAGCACACGCATGCATTTGTACCTACTTAGGTATGCACATGCATGCACATAGGCAAAAGAAGGGAAAAGCTTGGTGAAGATACAGCTTTCGGAAAGACACGTGAGGGCACATAACCCATCTGGAGGATGAGTCAACTCGTTGCTTTTGGGGTGTTTTGTGTAGGAATTTGAGCTCTTTCCTCAGATCACCGTTCCCACAGGCAGAGGCTGGACAAGACAGGCAGAGGAATGGCTGCTGACTCTCTTTGTTTTCCTTGGGTCTCTCAGTGCCACACAGTTCCGCTGGATCCAGAAAGGGGAAGAAACTGAGAAGCAAAGCTGGGCCATCGACCACGTCTACATCGGAGAAGCCTGTCCCAAGCTGTGCAGCGGGCATGGCTACTGCACCACTGGTGCTGTCTGCATCTGCGACGAGAGCTTCCAAGGTCTGCACCCTGCGCTGCTCCTGAAGCCGGGTGCTGGGCTCCCTGTCTCACATACACAGGGAAATGGATGCAAAAATCAGGCTTAGCGGCGTGAGGTTGACAACCTTTGACCACTGAGTTACCATCTTTAGAATGAATTCTCATACAAACTTGAGATCTGCTCCTGAAAGCATTTTGAAATTCTTTTTAGCCGGCCCACAAAACATTGGCTTTCGTTACAATATTTACACATATAGTCCTCTTCCCCCAAATAGTTCCCCTTCTGCTTCCTGAAACCCAGTTTTAAAAGGAGGCTGAAGAGTTGGGAGGGATAGCTCAGGCAGAAAAAACGCTCGGTTTGCAAGCTCAAGGACCTGAGGTCAATCCCCAGAACTCATATAAAAATGGCAGCCATGGTGTTACACACTTGTAAACACTGGGGACAGAGGCCAGCCATGGTGTTACACACTTGTATTGTAAGCTCTGGGGACAGAAACAGAAGGTTTCTTGGGGCTGAGTTGGCTGCTAGTCTAGACTAATCGATGAGCCCCACTCGAAGGAGGTGGATGAAATTCCTAATGATGACATTTAAGATTGTCTCCTGGCCACTGCATACATGCATACACATGCATGCACACTCTTGCACCTGCATATACAAATATACCGAGAGATGCCTCACATACATGAGTTAAATAAAAGACTGAAATCAACTTGATAAATTCCGTACGTAATGATTGTATTTGTCAGTCAATGAGTCAGGATGCATCCACTCAAAACGTCCCTGTCCCTCACATTAGTTTCCTGTCCCAGCCGTACCCCAACACTCAGTTCCCAGCCTCGTCCTGATATCTCTTTAAATACTTTGTCAGTGTCTGTTAGACTCTTCCTGGGATCCATCTTCCATCCTCCCGCAGTCCTAGCTGGTGGCCTGAGTTCTCTGCTTCTCGGGCCACTGCGCCACCTAGAGGGGAAAAACTTCATCAAACAACCAGAGTAATTTGAGTTAGTGGGTCTGTCAGCTTCTCACATGGTAGGAAACCGCCTGCCGGTTCTGCTTTACCTTCATCTAAACTTTCCAATTTCCAACCTATGTCACTGAATGCTTACTGTGTCTTCGTAGCTTAAAAATTGCCATTTAGCGGAGCTGAGAAATCTTTGAACTTTCTTGGTGAACACTGTCTTGGTGTTACTATTTGCGCAGACAGTCGCCACTCTCGGGAGCCACTTAGAATTTATGACAGCCCTGCAAGTTCCCTGTGCTCAAGATGACCATTACTACTCAATCAATAAGGAAACTAAGACTCTAGAGGCTAACGGATGTGTCAAAAGTCACAGAACGAGTAAAGACAACCAGATCATGGATCTTTCTGCCCAATCACCGAGTTCTCAGAGCTGATTTATCTAAAGAAGACCAGAATTATACAACTTCCCCAAGAATATGATATTAGGATAGATATATATATATATATATTTGAATTCCACAGTGGCATCCATTTAAATTTCTTGGTTGATGCTGTTCCTTCGCCTCCAGATGAAATGGATGTGATTAATGTAGGCGCCGGCACAGCTCTGGTGTTGAAAATTACTTCCCTACCTCCTTCCTCCGCTGTTATCACTGCTGCTGAGACCATCTGAGTTTGTCTGGGTATTAGCTGAAGAATTTTAACTTTGGGCAAATTAATGAATCCCACATCTCAAAAAAGGCCCAGCTGTCTGGAATTTTCCGGTTTCCCTGATCCAACAGAACTAGAGCCTTTTGATTTTGAACTACTGTGGGCTTTAGAACACGTGTACAGTTGAAATCAAGGAGACATATAAGCGTGCACACATTCCCTCATTTAATGTCTCATACACCAGTGTCTCACTCTTGTGGCTCCTGAGAGACATTTCCAGTTTACTTAGTGTTCATTTGTTTATCCCAGCTTCATTGCTGGAAGGCTGTGCTAGGTGTTAGAATCCAGTAAGGAACTAAGATGTAAACTCTGCTCTGAGGGTTCGTCGAGGAGAAAGTGGGATGAGAACCAGAACACAGTGTATCTAGTTCCTACAAAATCGTGCTGGGAACAAAAGAAATTAGGTTGGCTTCCTATGCCAGGGTGTAAGCTCCCTGCGGAGACCCAGCACTGGTAAACACACAGGCCTGGCCGGACACTGTAGCATGTAGAGGATGAATTAAGTGCATTCACGTGCACATGTTTAATGAGCATTGACTCGAACCTACTGGGATTTTTTTCAGCATAAGTCAACAGTCACCTAAATTCATGATAAACGGGAGTCTGAGGCAGCCTGGTACTTGACTGTTCTTGCAGTACCTGCAGCTCAAATCTGAAATTGAATATTGTTGTGCTCTTGGAGGACTATGTTTATTCCAGCTGATACCAACCCCTGTGATCCTTTTCCCCAGGGGATGATTGCTCCGTCTTCAGTCACGAGCTTCCAAGTTACATTAAAGATAATTTTGAATCAGCAAGAGTCACTGAAGCCAACTGGGAAACGATCCAGGGCGGCGCCATCGGAAGTGGCTGTGGACAGCTGGCACCCTATGCCCACGGAGACTCACTCTACTTCAATGGCTGTCAGATAAGACAAGCTGCTACCAAGCCACTGGATCTCACTCGAGCAAGGTGAGCAAACCCTTGTGCCGTATTCAAGACACAGAAGTGATCACAAGCCGGTCCTGATCATGAATTTCATGCAACAATGTCCACTAAGCCAGGGAGCCTTAATATCAAAGGACCATTGTGTGTGCTGACAGCTCAGAATGATCGTTGTACAAATTTATCATAGGATAGGATGTCTTTGTTGTTTCTTCCCACACAGACGGGTTAAGTGGTGATGCTATAGCAGAAATAGCTAAACATAACGGAAAGAATGGTCGAGGAGAATCTACATAGATAACTTAATGTTAGCCATATCCAAGTTCATAAATATAATATGACATATACATATATATATGTATATACATGCAAATATATGCCTAAGTTTAGCATCTGTAAGTTTAGTAAATAGAAATAAAGGATGATGAGATCTTTAATTATTCACATGTATGGGAGCTGGCTGTTCATAATTCAGAGCAGGGTGAGCGAAAAATGCATGAGTGTATTACAGAAGTGAGGTGGGGAGACCCTGAGGTGTGGGTAAAGATTCTGAAGTTTTACGGGCAGCGATGCACTGAACTGGAATTCCTGCTTAGCGGTGAAAAGTGTCCAGGAGTCACGCAGGGAACCTCATGGGGATATGCTTCTGTGTTTAAAATCCATGTCTTCGGGGCTGAGGAGTTGACTTGGTGGATAAAGAGGCTGCCATGCAAACATGAGAACCTGAGTTTGAACCCCCAAACTGACACAAAGCCAAGTGTAGGCATGCAGCTGTCATCCTAGCTCTGAAGAGGCAGAGAAAGGAGGCCTGGTGCTTGCAAGATAGCTAGGCTAACTGAATCAGTAAAAGATAGCCAGGCTAACTGGATCAGTAAAACCCCAGGTTCAGGGAGAGACACTGTCTCAAAACTCTAGAAGACAGCTGACGTCGACCCCTGGAATCCACACACATGCATGCACATGCACACCCCATACAGCTACATACAAACCCACACACCACACAGTCATGTTCATACATGCACACAGAGATAACTGTGTCCTGTAAGGAGAAAGATGTCTGGGGAAAGACACCTAGCAGAGAAGAGAAGTGAGCCCGAGCCTGTAGGCTCTACTTCAGCTTTCCCTCCTCTGATCCGGAAGATGGCTCCTAAAATAGACATGATCATTTGTCCTTATCCAGATGCTGTCCAGATTGGAGCGATTCATAAAAAGCAAACAGCACACAGACTGGGGCTGTGTTCCTGTCCTCAGCTGCCTGGCCTATGTGACTGTTTAGAAAACAGAGGGTTGGGGGCAGGGATATACTAAACGGGTTTCCAGCATCCTGCAAAGAGGGACACATCTTTGGAAGTCAGAACTATTTATTCATATCTGTTTTGATTATACAGTCAGCCCTTAGTAAACATGGCAGATTGATTCCAGAATCCCCGGGGATGCTCAAATCCCTCTTCAATGCAGTACTTACACTTAGTCCACACTAAAGCCTCCTGTGTGAGTCCCATCTCTATCTGATTTATGGTGTCCAAATACAATGTATAAACATATAAATACAATGTATAAACATATAAATACAATGTATAAGCCTTGCAGATGGATGATACACTGTCTTGCTTGGGAGATAATAAAGGAAATAAAGACTATAGACTTTCAGGACAGGTTTTTTTTTTCCTGAATATCTTCTGTGTGCGATTGGTTGAATCTCCAGACATGGAGCCCACTAAACCCAATTGTGTTATGAACTCAGGAATTACGAACTTTAGGAAGAACAAAGGTTGAGAACTTCTTCCTCCTTTAATGTTTCCAACTTTCATCTGAAGCTGATTCCCCTGTATTTTTTTTTTCAGCAAAATTATGTTTGTCTTACAAATTGGGAGCACATCCCAGACAGACAGTTGCAACAGTGACCTCAGCGGCCCCCACGCAGTGGACAAGGCTGTGCTGCTGCAGTACAGCGTCAACAATGGCATCACCTGGCATGTCATCGCTCAGCACCAGCCAAAGGACTTTATGCAGGCTCAGCGGGTGTCTTACAACGTCCCTCTGTAAGTGGCCCGAAGGGGAGCGCGTGATCTCCTGCCCATTCCTGGGAATCCTTGAGTTTGGCGTGGGAGTTGGGTGGTTATTGGGTCAATGCCATGAACCTAGGCAGTGGCAGACCCAGGATAGCCCAGACCACCAGCATTGTGTTGCTGTTTTCCAGAGGTCCAGAGGCAAATGGCCAATCAAAATAGACAAGAGGGAATGGCTAGATAGCTAAATGCAAAGACACTGCACATATGTAGCATGGTTTGTCCTGGCTGCCCAGCTAGCTTAGCCCCGAAATAACCACATAGAAACTGTATTAATTAAATCACTGCTTGGCCCATTAGTTCTAGTTTCTTACTGGCTAATTTTTACATCTGAATTTAACCCATTTCTATTAATTTTTGTATCGCCACGTGGCAGTGGCTTACCGGGTAAAATTCCCAGCATCTGTCTCTGGTGGATCCATGGCAACCCTCCAACTCTGCCCTTCTTTCTCCCAGCATGCCATTCAGTTTTCCCTGCCTACCTAAGTTCTGCCCTATTAAAAGGCCCAAAGCCATTTCTTTATTAACCAATGAAAGCAACACAAAGACAGAAGGACCTCCTACGCCACACATACTTCTCTAGTCCTTTGGAAAACCTGGAGCGTCTCTTTGGAGTGACCATTTGGAAGTCTGGGGAATGTGCAACCATATCACCTTTGCTTAGCCTTGGTTCACCAAACCACTCACACAGAACCTATCCCAGAGAGCATTTCATGTTCATGGATGAACAGGTTGCTTTTCTAGATACCCTAGGACAAAGGGAAGGAGGGAGAAAGAAACCACTAGCCTTAAGTTGCCAATAAAATTCCATACTGCTTAGAAGAGTACAAGGCGCTAAGCAAATCTGGATTCTGTGTACAGCACGGCCTTGACTTAGATTAGCTCACCAAATCGTCTGAGATCTGCAGCTCACCTACCGGAAGAAAGGCCTTAAACATTCAGCCACTTTGTCATTCTGTCTGTGATGCAGGGAGGCGCGGGTGAAAGGAGTGTTGCTGCGCTGGTGGCAGCCGCGTCACAATGGAACAGGTCATGATCAGTGGGCTTTGGACCATGTGGAGGTCGTCCTGTGAGTACCTGCTGCTTAGCACCCTGTGTCCGCTTCAGAAAGGTCTGACGTTCCTTTGACCTGGCATGCTCCTTGATTCAGGAAGAAGTAGACCTGACGAGAAGGCCCCCCACAGGCCACTGTGGCTAACATTCTCCAGCAGCTTCAGGATAGTTCAAGTCAACAGTGAAGTGTAACAAAACCCCAAACATAGTTTAACAGGCTTTAGAAAGCTTTGATAAGTAAAATGCTTGCTTAAGGATTGGCAGGGTTGATCAAATTCAACAAAACAGAAGTCTCTGGGTAAATGGGAAGTGACGTCTTATGCTTGATCTGGGTTGCCTTACAAAATAGAATGACCTCCTAAAAGAATGATCTCTGCTGGTCCGTAGACAGAGTGTTCATAGTGGATGAGCCCGTGAGGAAGACCTGTACCAGCCCCAGAGGCGTTCTGCCTTTGAGGATTTGGTTGAGCTAGAACAGAGAGCCTATGGTCTCACATTCCTTGTGACAGTCCCACCACCCAAGAGTTAAGGGTGTCCTCCCCCTCGTCTGTCCCCTGTAGAGCGGCTGTCACTGCTCTCCTCTGGCTGGGTTGACTGTTCCCTTGCAAAGAGATGACTTGCTTTTTCTCTAACAATCTAGTTCCTGTAAAACGGGGATGCCTATGTCTCGACGCGTTCGAACTGGTGGCTCCAAGTTGTTGGCGAGGAGAGGCGAATCTTCTCGGTAGATAGGTTCACACGTTCATTCTGTTTGCCAGATCCGAAATGAAATCAGTCGCCTGGCTGATTTCAATCATTTTGAAAGCAAATTTCAGTCATGAGTTGGTAGGAAGCCTACCAGATTTGTTTTCTTTTCTGTCATAGCCATGAGCTGACTTCTCCAGTCTTGAGCTGGCCCTTGTCTTAGCTGTCACCGAGGCACCTGCTTGCATGGCGTCCATACCAATCCCGATTCCAAGAGCAACCTGGTCCCCCACACAAGCTCCCACTGTGCACGCTGCTGCTTCTGGACCACTTGCTGGGCTCTGCCTCCACGAGACGAAAATCTAAGCTCATAGGAACAGTCAGACCCTTGGTTCTAAACATGAGGCTGATATTTTCCCGTAGCTATTGATCTCCTCCAACTGCGCTATTCCAGGAGAGTAGAATCACTTGGGCTCCGAAAGACTGTAAACAATCACATGTATGTACACAGTGAGGAGAAAGAGAAATATGACCAATGAGAACCAGAATCCAATCCTGGAACCACCACGCCCTGAACTCTCTCCTTAGAGCAAAGAGATCCATTTGAGGGATGCTCAGAATCTCTGGGGAATCTGGCCTTCCTCTGAAGGATTTGCCTCAGCGGCACTAAAAACTGAGCATCAACTTTTTAAAGCACCTCGGGGCTTCTTGTGAACTGACTTAAAGTCAGCAGCCACATCTCTTTCAAGCCTTCTGCCCAGACAAACCTGAGTAAACAGGGCTAGGCATCACCAGCTCCCCCGGAAACTTCAGAAGTTTCCCATTCTCCGCAGAAAGCAGAATGCCAATTCTGTCCTTGCGGGGCACAGGAATCCTCCGAATACCTGCATTTGAATAGATACTTTCCACTCCCGCCTAGACAGGCCACTGCCATCACCTAAGATGCATGCGGTCTTCTCATAACTGGAAAACAAAACTCAGCTCCCTCAGAGGCCCTCAGAGTTCTATCGGGAAGCCTTCCCACCTGCCCCCAAGAGAACCTTATAGAATACCTGGTGTTGGTATTAATTTTTGTAAGCAACCGCCAGCATCATGATACTGGCATAAGACTGAAATTCTTACTGCATTCTGGAACTGTAATATTATAAGACTTCATTGTTGCTCAGTCCCAGAGTTTTAAGATTTAAAGATTTTTAGCACATGCCAGCCACCTGCCTGCTCTCACAATGCATCATGGTCTTGAAGCTTCAGGACCCAAAGCCCTCAGAACAAGGAAGGCACCAACAGGCATGCGTGGTGTTGCTTAGCTTGTTTTACTCCAGATCAGCTTTCAGTGACTCACTCAGAAATGATAGCTTTACACTTAGACCATATGATAACAGTACATATAATTTTAGAAACAAATGATTTATCTTTAGTGACCTTTCAAAATTTGTTAAAATTATAGAAGTACTGTGTTTCCCTTGTTTTAGAAAAAAAATATGTACTTCACAGAGCTCAATTCAATAAATGATTCCTAACATATATTTCTAAAGAATTCTGTTTTACAACTATATATATATATATGATATTTTTGCTCTGTTCTTAAGATATGATTTCATGCCATTATAATATTTCAAAGTATTTCCTTCATATGTATTTGGTAGCTTTGCAATACAATTTATCTTTTGATGAGTGTATGATAGAAAGTTCCAGATAACTCAGGAAAATAAACCATAACAACCCTGTGGTCCTTCAACTCTGTAAGACACAGAATCTAGCAGAGGCTCACATTACTCATAAATGCTACAGATTTTACTATGAAAGTAAGTGTATTTAAGAAGTAGGGTAGAATGTGTCCAGAAAACCTACTGATGAAATGCATTTTCTTACTTGGCTACACTTCCCTAGCAGAACCTTTAGCTGTATGAGCTAACAATGCTTATAACCTCTCCCACATGGAGAAGGAAGAGTAGCAAGGGCACACACATGCGGGGACAACCTAGTTAACATGCAGCAGAGCTGTTGATACGTTCTTGCAACATCCATGTCAGTTAAATAACCTTTAGAATATATTCTCTTTTGCAAGTGATGATTGTTTTAATCTAGCTTTAATGTCATGGTTTAGCTTGTGTATATACATACCAAGGACACATGCTAAAAACCTTTAGGAAGGAAAGCTGTGGCCATGCATGGTATCTTACACTGAGTAATGTCCATAATGCCCATATTAACCAAGGACGCGTGAGTTTGATGAGAACAAATTCAACACCTTTGAAAAACGTTTCAAGGTATATAGGAGCACTTCCTAAATGAATGACACATAATATATTCTTAGCGTAATGGTTTAACTGTAGAAGGCAATATGTGGAATGATTTGAGGGTCGTGAACATAAAGAGTGTCAGAGATAGAACCCGCCCTCTCAGCGTTCATCAAGCAAGGTCCTTGTGCTTCTGTGAGAGGGTAGCCCTTCCTCTCGCTTGCCAATGAGCCCTGCACACTGACGGTTAGCCCCTGCTAATCTGTCTGCCCTGAACCAGCAGGTCGTTTCTTTCCAGCCTCACTAGTTGACAGAGAGACCTCAATCTGTAAAGCCCAAATGATACAGAATAACCTAATCATCACTGAGCAGGTGAAACTCAGCAGGTGAAACTCACTTGCTAGCGCAGGATATTTGCTCCTCAGTGAATGTTTATGAAGACACTTGGGCAGATCCCTCACAAGATCCATGCTAGTAGGGCGCTTCTTAGGGTAAAAAGGAGTTGTCTCAACCCCTCTTGTGGGGCACTCACGCGTCTATCCTAAGAATCTCCCTCGCCCAATATACATTCCATCCACACATCACATCTCCTGTGTGCGTGTCTCAGTCACAACCTGTCATGTGTATAACAAATTGGGCCAATTTCTGCATGTGTACCTGGAAAGCAAATCACCCAGGAAAAAGTTAGCCTTTATGAATTGATGTAATAACAAGCAAATTCGTGCCACGTTTGTTGAGAATTGAAAAACTAATACGCTGCTAACTTTGGCTCTAAACACATTTATCAGATTTTAATATAAGTTCCATCATGATCATGCCCCCTTGCTATTCATCATCAAGACACTGTCACGTTTTTGGCACAAATGATTTATGAAGATGAGCGTATTACATTTGTCCGCAAAGCATATTTTCCTTTATTGAATTGGACTATGTTATCTGATGTAGAAGACATCTCCATTAAAGCCCATTCCTTCTCTTCTCGGCTGTTAACAGTACCTACAATGTAAATAATTGAAAACTCAGATAAAATGTGCAGTAGTTATTAAATGATTAACATTTCTACTTTATATGTAACATTTATGCCAAATGTAGTGTTATAGCTGCGTGTACCTTGACATATGGTTATGAGCAAATAGTGCATGTTTCATTACATCAAAAAGTTAAGCATAACTCTGTGGTGGGTGTTGGAGGATAAGAAATAACATGTTCAATTTTTATTTTCAAAAGAGATGAAAAATCCTATATTGCACCTAAACCTGATCAGGCTTTTATGACTAATCACAGTGCTGCATGCGTTGAGAGGCATTTTTTAACTTGTGTTATATTTCATTATTTGCTGTCACTGGTTTTCTACTAGAGTAAGGTAAGTCATCCTCACTACATCTGGAGAGCTTTTTACTGTTCACTCGCGGTTTCACCAAAGCTAGCTGAGAATTTCTGCAGAAGACCTTTCACAGGTGGATATTTTCGAGAAAGGCAGTTATAGATGATATTGGGATACATTGACTGAAATGATCAACATACACATAAATTCGGCCAAATTAAGAGGAGTCTAGGATGTATGTAATATTGGATATAGAGGCATAGGCTGGGTGTGGGAATCACTATTCTCTCATTGGGCAAGTGTGCCTGGCTCTGTCTCTGTTTGAGACAGCCTTAAAGTGCTCACAGTTAATAAACTCCTTATGAGAAATGGGATTAGGAATATACACAAAAGATCTCTAGTCTATAGTTAACGACTTTCAAAAGATTCATCAGCCAGGGGATTTGCATGAAGGTGCCTTGACTTAGCAATTTAAGGTTAATAATTGACAGCGTTGGGTAGCTTTACTCTAACACCTGAGAGTTCTGGATCATGCCCATCAGGTAGGATGGACCACCTTCTGCTTGTCCAGACTGGGAGTAAAATGGTTCTAAGTACTAGACGTGTGCACATAGACGTGTGCACATAGACGTGTGCACACAGTGTCAAGGTTTTTCATTTCATCCTGACCGTTTCCCGAGTGGTCAGACATCACCCTCATTCCATTTAGCAGGAGAGAAATCTGAACCTCTCATTTGTACGTCCATGTATTTGGCATGGACCTTTCTGAAAGTACATGCCATTGGGTGCACAACCTCGTCTGTGCCCAGGATTAGTTTGAAGAGCAGCACCCATCCTAAACTCACCCGAGTTTCTCTGGGAGACACAACTCCAGTCACTGAATCCTTATTTCTGCCTTCAGATAAGTTGCCATCTCTTGTATCATATGTTGAAAATAATGAATTACTGATTGATAAAATGCCCAAATTTCTACAAACTCAGACGCTTCTAATCTTCCCGTCTTGCCATGTCTTTTAGAATTCATCTTTCCAAACCAGATTTAATTGTTTTCATGACAATAAATGAGCTAGCCTTGTAACTAGTAAGAACTGGCTCAAAAGAATACAGATCACGAATGCCTCAAAGATCTCGCGATGCCAGTATTTTCTATGCAGAACAGGGAGGCATTTTCTAATCCCATATGCTCTCTAAGTCTTCGAAATCCCTGAAATAATGGAAATCACAGTCAGCACTTATAGAAAACTGCCACTCAGAGAAAGCGCTCCCTTCTTCCAATGGCGCACGTGAAGAATCATTTAAAGACATCGTTAACGGCGCATGTGAAGAATTCTTTAAAGACGTCGTTAATGGCGCACGTGAAGAATTATTTAAAGACGTCGTTATACCAACAGTCAAAGCAGATTGTTTTGTCCAGTGCTAGGTTGTACCTTGGGATGTGTGTCACTGCTCAAATTGAACTTATAATTAAAAACTACTTTCCCCTGTAGTTGCAGTGAAGAAATGAATCTCATGAGCTCGGTTTTCCCTACCTTGACATGATCTAAAGCATGCATCTACATATATTGAAAGCAAAATAAGTTCCCCGCAGAATGACCAATAACGGATTTTTAAATGTGTTTAAAATTCCTACGATGAAAACTGCTCCCATACAGTCTTGTAGTTGGAGATTTCAGAAGACAGAGAGTAGCAGCTTAATATTCACTGAGGGTTATTAAATGGACCTAGAGATGACATTCTGTGATCACCATTCCCTGTGGTCCATGAACAGGCTTAGGAACTGGAAAAACCCACCTCATTGGACTTCAATTACAAATGACTCGTAAGCAAATCACTAGTTAGCTGCAAGCTTTGAAAGTGCGGCTGCTTGAATGCGGTCGTGTACATGCCAGACACCTGAAGCCGTCACTCTTCCATGTCCGTGTGAAGCCTCATGGGAAGCCACAGATAAAGTGACGTAAACCGACTCAAAGTCAGTATGCCCAGTGAATTAGGATATTCCCAAATTAGTTGTAAGCCTCTTTAAAAACCTACAGCCTGCTAATATTTTTCTTACACATAAAGTTGGAAGTTTTAAAGCAGTTCTACAATAAAATAACCTCATGTAGAATTTTCTTTGATGCTATTAACAACTTCATTTAAAGTTAAGTATGTCTTCATTCTCATATGTACAGGGTCACTGCCACCTCAATCTAAGTTACAACGAAATAACTAGATATCGTGCCTGTTTGGGTTTTTGTGTAAAATATTTAACCATCTTAAATTTTCTTTGAATACTTTGTCTTTGAACGTGTTTTGACAGAATAATTTCATTGCTTTAACTCTGCAATTATTCCTTATAGTTAAAGAGTAATGGTTTACAGCAGGAATCCAATCAGTAAGTCAACAAAGGTTCAATAGCATGCCTTGACCACCTCCGGGTCAAGCAGAGGCGCAGTGCTGCGGTTGGGGGTGGAGAGAGCTGGACAGCAGGCCCCAGATTATCAGGAGCTTACATGTGGGGAGTCCAGATTCCACCCTGCAGGAATGGGCATTGTGGGAGTTCAAAACAGAAAAGCCAGAGTCACTGCTAAGGGGGTGCTGTCAGCAGGAAAGCCGGATAGGGTGGACAGCAAACTAGAGGACATGCTGTGTGGCTGGTGGAGCCCAGAGCAGCCTTGCACAGAGCAGTCTGCCTAGGGGAGGAGCAAAAGAAATGATCTGAAAGCAGGATTGATCGAGAGGACGTGAGATTCGTGGCTTTCGTAGCTTAGGATGTTGTTATGAGGTGTAGGAGTTCTGGATAGTTTGTTACTACACTAACAAAGCTGACCTCTGAAGGAAAGGGTCCCAAGAGTGGTGTGTGACTTTACTGTGTGTGTGTGCACCAGACCTAGTACCCATGAGTACAGTCTGACTGTTCTCTTAGGTGCAAGTTGTATGCTCCATAGTTTGGAGAAGAGAGACACAGAGGTTGGTGTAGGGGCCACTGTGATAGTGCAGAGGACTCAAGGGGACCTCAGATGCTGGACGGAAGATGTAGGTTTAAAGCTTCCTACGTTTTTATAGCTAAGTACAGTGCCTAGAATATGTTGTTTAAAAAAACTCATCATTTTACTCCTTGCTAGAAATTGGTTATTGATAAAATTCTCCTTTCCCTCTACCCTAATACAAGTTCCTTTTATATTGCCCTTGATGGTAGCCACAACACTGACATCATCTCTCTGCCTACATTCAAGAAACTCAGCACAGTTAGAACATGTTGATAGGTTTGCCCTCAAGCCACATACTAATGCCACATATAAACATTGCCCTTTGGGTCAGTGTATGAAAACACAATTCTTACAGCAGTGATGATATCAACTTAAAAAAGGATAGGTGAGAGTTGGGGTGCAGGCCTCTAACCCCAACCCTCTGGGGGGCTGAGGCCCAAGAAACCTAAGTTTGAGGCCAACTTGGGCAGCATAGCAAAACCCTGTCTGAAAAGTAGAAAATACCAGACCAAAACGTTAGTAGCTGCTATGGAAACTATCAATTAATTTCCTAGGAGTCCTGATATCCAAGTCAGTATACTTATCAGCCTCACATACGGAATGTGTAGGAATGTGTGTGCGTATATGGGACACTATAAATGCACACATGTAGGGTTATACATTCAGTTACCCTTCCCTGGCATTTGTATGATTCTTTTCAGCATTGTGTCTCTTTTCACCAAGACATGATTATTGAATATAACCCCAGTTGCTTATTGAGACAGACAGTGGAGACCAGCATCACTTTGAGAGGGACCAAACAAGGAAAAGCTAGCTCATTCTGCTGGGTTTTTTTTTTTTATTTTAGCCTTTTAAGCTTGAAATGAAAATGTTGACTAAAGTAACCAATGCACTTTTGCTAACTGCTAAAACCAACGTAACCAAGGTAACGGATATAGTGTACACATCCTTGGGATGGAGTTCATTGGGGAGATGATGTTCTCAGGATCTGTAAAGAAAGGGCCTTCAGGGCTAAAGGCAGGGAGCCAGGGGGCAGCCATTAATTATTCTGCCCCTAGGTGGTGAAGTCAACATGATTTCTGAACTCTGAAAATTTTCAAAAAAAAAAATATTTATATATCAGGCTACCTTGGGACCTTAGAATAGATCCTACATTCAATGACGGAACTTACATGCTCTTTCTCCTTTCCCTCCCCGCCTGCTCCCTTCCCGTGATTTTTAACAGCACTCGAAAACAAAATTACATGATGAATTTTTCACGGCAGCATGGGCTCAGGCACTTCTACAGCAGAAGAAGAAGGTCGCTTAGGCCCCACCCATGAAGAAGCCAAGTTGATTCCCCTTCTGGCGTGTGCGATGTGTCACTTCCTGTTCTTTTTGAAACCCCTCTCACTGCTTCGCGTATCGGGAGACACCTGTGAAGGACTTGTCTAACAGAGAACCCTTCCGGACCGCGTGCACACCACTGTCCTACACTGTGAACTAACAGCGAGTCGCCTCTCTGTGTACAATGTTTCGTGTCGGTGCGTCTGCGGGAATTGTGACCTCTTGTAATTTGCGGTGTCAGTATTAAGAATAAGAAATAGTTTAACAGGAAAAGAAGTCTAAGCACAAAGTTTTAAAGATTTTACTTTTAAAATGGCGTTTTAGCACAGTATTGAGCATTCCCTGGTCACCAAGCTATTTAAGTAGACTGTATTTCAGCTTTGTATCTTGTTTTGTATGATTAAGTTATCATTGTCCGTCCTCTGTGGTCCCCTCTGCAGTACAACGCATTGAAACCGTATCTACTTGCTATGTTGCAATGGTTTGCTGCTGGACTATGCTCTACTTGTATTCTGCAGGAAGTTAATTCAAATACCTATTCAAGATGATAGCTGTAAAGACACTGTTATCTCCTTTAATGTGCTCTTTAACATGTATGCTGATTTAGCATCATTTTGTGGATAGTAAAGACGTTGGACCTTCAAATATTTTCTACTTAAAAATTGTGGATGAGCACCCTATGTCCCTCCCACAACGAAGCTCCGGTCACCTTGTCTAAAACCATTTCTTCAAGTGTTCTGTGGCTATCTACTAACAATGAGTGCCATTGTGTGTCTGTGATAACGAAGTGATTTGTAACATGGTGGATGGTCTTCTCCTTGTGTTCTCTTCATGGGTTGTTTTCCCTGTGGGTCATATTCACACCTTCTGGTGGAGTTGAGCCACACCAGCACCCTGTAGCCCCAGACTAGCCATGAGGCAGAAGGCTGTGCTCCAGGGTGGGCCATGCTAAAAGCCCGTGCTTAAATAAAAATCATGTCTGAACCATCTGAAGCTCACTTGTATTCATTCGGTTTTTATTTTTTGTGTGTGTGTGTGTGAGAGAGAGAGAGAGAGAGTGTGTGTGTGTGTGTGTGTGTGTGTGCGCGCGCGCGCGCACACACGCATTTGTGGAGGTCAAGGGACAGTTTAAGGTGTTTCTCCCCTACTTTCACCTTGTTTGAGCCAGGGTCTCATGTTGCTCACGGCTACACAAGACAGTCTAGCTGGCCCGTGAGCTTCTGGGGATTGTCCTGTCTCCATCTTCCACTTTACCATAGACACAAAGGGATTACAGAGATCTCTGGCTAGACAGAGAACTCTCACCAGATGAATCTAAAATGGCTGAAAGACACTTAAGGAAATCCTCAACATCCTTAGCCATCAGAGAAATGCAAATCAAAGCAACTCTGAGATTCCTTCTTACACTTGTAAGAATGGCAAAGATCAAAAACACTGATGACAACTTACTCTGGAGAGGATGTGGGGTAAAGAGAACACTCCTCCACTGCTGGTGGGAATGCAAACTGGTACAGCTGCTTTGGATGTCAGTATGGCAATTTCTCAGAAAATTTGGAAACAATCTACCTCAAGACCCAGCAATACCACTTTTGGGTATATACCCAAAGGATGTTCAATCGTGCCACAAGGACATGTGCTCAACTATGTTCATAGCAGCTTTGTTTGTCAAAATCAGAACTTGGAAACAACCTAAATGCCCTTCAACTGAAGAATAAGGAAAAAATGCATTTACACAATGGAGTACTACACAGTAGGAAAAAATAATAACATCTTGAAATTTGTGGGCAAATGGATGGAGCTAGAAATCATCATATTGAGTGAGGTAACCCAGACCCAGAAAGACAAATATCATATGTACTAATTCATAAGTGGCTTTTAGATATAAAACAAAGAAAAGCCAGCCTACAATTCACAATCCCAGAGAACCTAGACAATTAAAGAGACATACATGGATCTAATCTACATGGGGAGTAGAAAAAGGCAAGCTATCTTGAGTAAATGGGTAGCATGGGGATCATGGGAGAGGGTAGAAGGGGAAAGGAAAGGAGGAAAATATACAGCTCAATAAAAGCAATTTTAAAGCAAAACCAAGGGGTCACAGATTCCCGATACCTCACTGGGCTTTTATGTGGTCCTCAGGCCCAAACCCAGGTTCTAATGTTTACACAGCAAGACCTTAATCCATGGAGCCTCTTAGTAGGGCTTCACGCATTTCTAATTAACATTTACATAGAAATTATAAGTCACATGTTTGGAAAAGGTGTCAGGTACTAGTTTTTCGAGTTATCATTAGTAGTGTGAAGCCACGCTTTCAATTTTACCAGGTTTCTTCAGTGTGTATCTGGTGCATGAGTATCTGCATACCCACGTGTGCATACGGGGTGGAGGGCAGCTGTCACTGGGAGCCGCCTGTGTCTGCCCCTCTTCCATCACCAAGGCCAACCGGACTCATCACAGGTCAACCGGACTCAACATTTGCATGGGTGTGGACTCAACATTTGCATGGGTGTGGACTCAACATTTGCATGGGTGTTGGGATAAGAACTCAGTCCCTCAGCCGGGCGGTGGTGATGCACGCCTTTAATCCCAGCACTGGGGAGCCAGAGGCCGGCGGATCTTTGTGAGTTCAAGGCCAGCCTGGTCTACAAGAGCTAGTTCCAGGACAGGCACCAAAGCTACAGAGAAACCCTGTCTCAAAAAAAAAAAAAAAAAGAACTCAGTCCCTCATAAATACCCATGGAGTCATCGTTTCAGCCCCAACTATTTGTTTTACTTTATTCATCTTTTTTATACTTATCATTCTGTAATAGAGAATTCTGGAAATAACCTAGGTCCCAAACACTTTTGTTAAGTGCTAATACAATCCATGGCTCATAAAAGGCATCCTGCACTCACCCAGCAACTGTTTAGATTGTAAGCTCTCTTCTAACTGGAGAGGCTACAGCGGTGATTCAGACCCCTGCTTGCTTGTAACATGCCAATTAAAACACCACCAACAACTGGGTGGTGGGAGGCAGACTTCGAGGCCAGCCTGGTCTACAGAGTAAGTTCCAGAACAGGCTCCAAAGCTATACAGAAAGACCCAGTTTCCATAAAACTAAAACTTAATTCATTAATTAATTAAAAGAACAAAAAAAAACCATACTTATGCTATTGGGGGTATTTTCAAAAGGATGTTTTTCAATCTTGGGAAACTTTAAGTTTAGAGAATTCAGCAATGGTAAATGTTTCCATTTTTTGGATACCTCAGATGTTGAACTTAATTGCACATACAATGAATGGATTCCTAAGGTATTAAAGGAAGAATGCATGCCGTGGCCAACACCACCAGCGTGAGCTCTCCAGCATTGCCCCGGCTAATCACCTCCTGTGGAATAGCAAAGGGTGGAACTGGTTCCCCTGCTTCCGTGCCCTCAGGGTCAGCTCTCCCACACCGGCACCATTAGGGCCAGCTCCGCTGTGTTACTCAGCTCTTCCACCTGTCTCCGGGGAAGGGCATCTCTCCTCTGCCCATGCTACCGCACAGCTGCCCAGGCCCAGAACCAGGGTGTGACGTGGTTCACCTCACCATCCGCCCCATCTATGACCTGCTGGGGCACGCGAAGGGACCTGACCTGTAGATCCGAAGTCGAAGGATCTGCACAGCACAGGACAACAGCAGGACATCCAAGGAGAGGCCCAGTGGGGCCCAGCATGGATAGTGTAGTAGAAACCAGAGGCCTTGAACCAGACGGTGACTCTTTGCAATGAACACTTGTAAGTAAAGAGATACGGACAAAGCGGGTGACTGCATCACTCACTGTGCCACACGGCGGCTTCATGACGAGATTTTAAATTATTTCCCTTTTTTCCCCCTTTTTTTCCTCTTAAATTTTGTTTTATGGGGGGAGAGGTGCAGGTGGATGAGAAAGGACGGAGAAATGAATAGGATCAAGACACATGATGTAAAGGATGCTTAGAATAAATAGAAAGAAAAAATTGGTGTTAGCATCCAGGCACACCTTGGCCCTGCCCTTTGGGCACAGTCACCTCTGGGATTAAGGCAAGCGGTTCCGCTGTAGACAGTGCAAAGGTCCCTTTAAGAGACAAGCTCCGCCCACTCCTGATCTCTCTTCTGCCTAGGCTAGCGAACTGGCCTCTATCTCTCCTCTTTCTCTTTCTTCCCTTCCTCTCTCCCTGTCTCTCTCTCCCTCTGTCTCTCTCTCTCTGTCTGTCTGTCTGTCTTTCTGTTTCTCTCTCTCTCTCCCCCCTGTGTGGGGTGTGTGTGTGTGTGTTTGTGTGTGTGTGTGTGTGTGTGTCCATTCCGTCCCTCCCCCCCCTATTCCCTTTATCTCAAATAAACTCCACTCTCAAGCTCTCTCTGCATGGCATATTCTGTCACCAGCCATGGTTTGGGCCCGACCAACTATGGGACACTGCAAAGGTCCCTCTCGCTCTGTGTCTTACAATTGATAAAATAGACTTCTTAACAAATCTTAATAAGAAAGAAAAGAAAGAAAAGAAAATTCAGCTATAAAACAGGCTGGTGCGTTTGCGTGGCTCTCTCCAGAACCCACACACCTATAGACTGAGCTGTGTTCTGTGTGACCATACAGGCCTCTCCCTTCTGTCCTCCACTGGAAACCATTACTCTAGCCTGTGTATTTTCCTTCTGACTCCATGTTAGGTGATATTCTTAAGTCACACGTAAGAAATAGGAAGTCTGAATTTTATGTGTTAAGAACTACATAAATGGAGACACATACCCTTTTTACGTGTAGGGATTCTCATTAATATTTTTTTCAGCGCCCCCTAAATTTATCTCAATATTCAATGCATCTTAGCCAAAATTCCTACAGGCGTTTCCATAGACATTAACAAACTGATACTTAAATCTACCAAGAACTGCAAAAGAACAAGAAGACTCAAATTACTCTGATAAGAGAGAAAATTGAAATACTACTTTAGGTGACTTACTGGAAAGCTTGTAATCAAGACAACGTGGTACTGGCACCGAAACAAATGAACAACGAGCCAGAAAGAAGGGCTGGGAAGATGGGTGGGTGCCTGAGCGTACCTGCTCTGCAAGCATGAAGACGTATGTAAGTTCTCATCCCCAACAACCACGCGTTCTAAAAAAGAGCTGGGAATGGCTGTGTGTGCCCACAACCCCAACAGAATTTGGAGACAAGCCAAGAACCCAAATAATTTGTTGGTCAGCCACTCGAGGTTAAAAGCAGTAAGCTTCACAGTTTGGTGAGAGACCTTGTCTCAAAGCAATAGGGTAGAGCGTAATAAAGTAAGACACCCACCACCCTGCTCCTGCTTTCACATACAACACACCAGCTGACAGAGATCTCACGGACAGGTGTGCACGCTTAGTAAGCATTTGCTCAGAAATACAAAATCAACTGAATGGCAGTTTCAGCAAACGGAGTTGGCATAACTGGAAGGCCAGGTGAAACATGAAGTTGCATCAGTAACTCACGCCCGATACAAAAGAAAGAAACTCCGAATGGATCTTAGCCCTAAATATAAAGCCTAAAACTGTAAGAAGTCGAGGAGAAAGCAAACCATGAAGCATCTGAGTTACTTGGTGACATCTTAGCCAGGGTAACGAAAACACATCAAATGTGTTACATAAAAGGATAAGTTATCAAAATTGTACTTTCCCGATTTTTAAAGTGTTGCATTATAATGCAAGTAAATACAAGCTGCAGAATGAGAGAGATATCTACAAAACACATTTAGTAAAAGGTTTTTTTTCATCCGGAAGGTACCAAGAATTCTCAACAGTCATAAATTTTAAGTACACAGTCCAATATGCAAAATAAGGCAAAAGATTTTGCCACTTTAACAGTGTGTATGTGAGGAAAATTAGCATGAGAATACATTCAGTATTTTCAATAAAATTAAAACCACAATGTGATAGCCCTACACATTAACGAGAGTTGATAAAAATCAGAGAATACCTCCATATCAAGTATTACCAAAGATATAAAATACAGGAGCTT